ACTCCTTTAGCATAGTTAAAAAAAAACAATGTACACAGATTTTTTTTAAATGAGTTTTTAGAATTCTATAGTCCCCTACCACAGATATTAACCCAAAATCCCTTGTTATCTCTGCTAAGCATACACCACAATCTGCCATCAACCCTATTGCATGAGTTGGGATTTGGGATTGCAATAAGTGTGCAAATGACCTACTCATATGACTAATTAAAGATGCATCCATTAAGTCGTTTTTCTTGCTTTGAAATAATACTATAGTGGTCAACAGTGTTGTTAAAAAAAGATTTAAAAAAAAAATCAAGCTGCAATTAGTCCTCACATTTGGTTCAACACCAAGTCAGAAAAACTTTTTGAGAACAGGTTCAAACAGTATTGTCTTATGGTTAGACAGAAGGAACAAAGAGAATCACTCTGGAGTGTAATCCCAACTAAACCACAGACTCCCTGTCTGACCTTGGACAAGTTACTGACCTCTTTATATTTCTCAGTCATTATGCACAAATACTCAGGCCCACAAATACTGCAATTTGATGGTGATCATGTTAAACCATTTAAAAAAAAAAATCCTTGGCAACCAGACTTTTCATGCTACTGTGAGTTTGTCATAGGACAGATTTTGGTTCCTCATTTTTTTATGGTTGATGGAAAGACATTTTTAGTGTACCTGTTTCATAGCTATAAAAGAATGTACTCATTCCAAACCAGCTTATATTGTATTTTTGAAAGAGAAGTTCAACTGGGACTGAAGAAGAACAACAACAAAAAAGACAAACTCCAAAAAGAGTTCCCTGCTACCAATATCACACAAATGTTCTAGTTTATACCATGCATGCACACTATTCTCTTTGTGAAAGGTTGTATTCACTTCATTATGTGGTGTTACAACAACCAATAACACATGTGAAGGTCTGACTGGAAGAGTCCAGCGCTCAACCTCTCTTTGTTTTATTGTGGTATTTGACTTCAACTCAATGCACAAATGTTTTCACTTGCCCCTTCCACTCCCATAACCAGTGGCCCATCAGAGTTGGGGAAACTAAATTAAAAAGTAATTTCCAACCCTTGTTTGATAATGAAGGGATTCAGATGCTGACTTCTTGAGTTACACATAGAAGAAAGAGTTAAGGGACAAAAGGAAAAAGGGGCATGACTGGTCAATCTGGTTAGATAAATAAAGCATGCATAAAGACAGGTATGAACCTGTTTTTACTTCTGCATTTCCTACACGCCCTTTCTGCAAATTTACTAGTTAGACACATAGCCCCATAAACATGCAAACCGAAGTATTGGGTATCTGTAATTTCTTTTATTAGAGACCGTTATAATTTCCCAACTAAACAAGCATCAAATCACATTTTTCTGTGTTAATATTTGTTTTAACTAGGAAACCCACTTCAGTAATGGATATACAAGTAGGATTTCTCTACACAGAGAAATTTACTGGCAACGCTACAGTGAAATCATTTTTCCACAATAGCTATGCTAGTATAATTTCCCCATATGGACACTCTATTCTGGAATAAAAGTGACTTTATTCCAGAATAATGATGAAGTAATTATTCCACCATAGCTATGCCAGTCAATTTCCCCATGTGGACAAGCCTATAGTCTCTACTTCCCATGAGTTTCTGGGCTTTCCAAGAATCAGAATTAATAAAACACACTTAGCTTCAAGACTATTCATTCACAAAAAGACTCACAAAGCTAAATACATTAACTTTACTTAATAAGCTTCCCTTTAAGTACTTCAATTGTGGATGTAATTTTAAAAGACTAATTATGACAGAGAACAAAAGAAAAAACCCAAGTTCTCTTTTACAGACTTATTTCTCAAAGGCTAAGAGCTTATCTACACTTACAGTGCTGCAGCTCTGCCACTGTAGTGTTTATTGAAGACACGACCTATGCCAATGCATGAGTTTCTCCCATTGGCATAGGTACTCCACCTCCCCAAGAGGCAGTAGCTATGTTGACAGGAGAAGCCCTCCTGTTGACTTAGCGCTGTCTACACTGTGAGTTCAGTTGGTATAACTGCGTTGCTCAGGGGTGTGGATTTTCCCCCTCCCTGAGTGACAGTTATACCAACCTACGTTTTTAGTGTATACCAGCGCCAACTGAAACAACACATAACAAAAATCCAAGCCCATTGTTTAGCCACAATGTGCTCCTCAATCATGGGGGAAAGAGACCTCATTTAATTTTGCAGACCACCAAGATATTTTTGAAGTATTGAAGACGATCTGCAGGGAAAGAATGTAAAAATGTCAGGGAAGCATGGGAGAGCTTTGCAAGGTTCCTAATGAAATGTGTAGGACTAGCTTCAAAGAGCTTCCTCAAAGCACAGCCTAATCATCAGTCTTCACTTATGAAAGGCACAGCCGTGGAAAAGAAGGAGCATTTTAGGCCTGGACAAGAATGTAGTGACAGAGTATGATGAAGAAAATGATACAGTATAAGAACATAAGAAAGGCCGTACCCGGTCAGACCAAAGGTCCATCTAGCCCAGTATCCTGTCTACCGACAGTGGCCAATGCCTGGTGCCCCAGAGGGAGTGAACCTAACAGGCAATGATCAAGTGATCTCTCTCCTGCCATCCATCTCCACCCTCTGATAGACAGAGGCTAGGGACACCATTCCTTACCCGTCCTGGCTAATAGCCATTAATGGACTTCACCACCATGAATTTATCCAGTTCTCTTTTAAATGCTGTTATAGTCCTAGCCTTCACAACCTCCTCAGGTAAGGAGTTCCACAAGTTGACTGTGTGCTGCGTGAAGAAGAACTTCCTTTTATTTGTTTTAAACCTGCTGCCTATTAATTTCATTTGATGACCCCTAGTTCTTGTATTATGGGAATAAGTAAATAACTTTTCCTTATCCACTTTCTCCACATCACTCATGATTTTATATACCTCTATCATATCCCCCCTTAGTCTCCTCTTTTCCAAGCTGAAGAGTCCTAGCCTCTTTAATCTCTCCTCATATGGGACCCGTTCCAAACTCTTAATCATTTTATCTTTTAATTGTAAGCCAAGTATTATGTACGGAGCTATTAGTCCCTCAATTTCATGAGAAATATATCAACTCAAGTTAAAAAAAAATTAAAAATGGAAATACTTCAGTGGAGCACTGAATATTTTTTCTGTACCCGTAATGCAGCAAGGAATCAGTACAGGACAAAAATGGAACTCAAGTATGTGGAAATGATCATCTAACGATTACCCTATTAAAACAGTTTTCAGATTCAACCATGATCTGCAATATGCGGAGGTCATAGGTGGACATTCTGGACATCTCCAATACAGTAAAATTGCCTCTCCTCAGTTGACCTAGTTTAATATTAAAAGACTGCAGAGTTTTTTGTTGTTGTCACTGGTTTGTCTGTTGGGTTTTTTTTTAAACCGCAGTATATTAGTGTCAAGTCTCTAATTACACTCCATTAGTAATTGCAGTAGAAAGAAAAGTGCTACAGGCCAGGATTTTCAAGGGGGCCAAAGGCTGTTAGCTACCCAACTCCCAAACTGGGTGCTAACTTTCATAGGCCCCTTAGAAAACCCAGCCCTAGTGAAATGTCTGTTAACAGTTGTAACAGTCTGTAACAAATGAGCATTTTCAAAATACTACAGATGTTCCCTGAAGCTCAGGCACTGAGTGTGTGAAAGAATCAAATAGTAATAAATAATTTGCAAGTTTGTAACCCTTTACATTCCTTACTTCCTGAATTAAGAGAAAGAAAGGAATTCTCATACAGGATCAAACCAGTGGTTCATCTATTCCTGTGTCCTGCCTCCAAAAGTGGACAGTATCAGATGCCTTAAAGAAGGTGCAAGAAGCCCCATAACAGACAATTATGGAAGTTAACATTATTAATAGTATTTCAGATAGTAGGCAGACAGACAGTACTAGGCAAAAGAGTAAGATCAGTTAAACACATATTGCACTTTTGCCTGGAATGGTTTCCAGCATGGGGGTCACTGGGGAGGGTGGGCAAGTGAAGCATCACCTCCCCCTCAAAAATACCAGAGCCTCCACCACGAAGGGAAGGGAGAAAATGTGAGAGAAGGAAAAGTAAAGTACGGCACAGCCTGGGACTCGGGAGGCAAATGAGGGACGCAAGTAAATCCCAGCAGTAGCAGCTCTGCAGAGGAAGGAAGGAAGGAAACACTGAGGCAGAAGGGAGGAGGGGAAGTGACTGGGAGGAGGGAGGCAAATACACTCGTTCAGTAAAAGTCTCAAGCTACACAGAGGCTCTGCAGAAACAGCTCCCCACCCCCTTGCCCGTCTCTGGGGTGTGTAGCGCTCTGCTGTGTTGTACAGAGTCGTCTCCCATGGTGCTGTTTTTAAACTCTCTGCTGTTGTTGATACCATGTGTAAGCAGATCCCCCCTGTGCTGCACGGGGCCCTGTCTGTGCAGACTCCTGTCCTGATTGACACCAGAGTTGGTACATACGGGTCTGTCACAGGAGGCAAGGAGAAGGGTGTAGTTTGTTTTAAACATGGCTTTTCTCTCCCTTCCGCCTTTTACCTTGGAGCCATCACCGGGGCACCATGCAAGGCAGAACGCAGACTCAGCCGAGGGCAGAATCAGCCAGCACACGGGAGATTTTGTCAAAGATTGATGAGCTACTGCTTGGAGTTTGCAAGCAGGAAACTCCTCCGGGGGAGGTAAAAGGCGAAGCTGCAGCTGCTGCATTTTTTTTCCGGGGGGGGGGGGGGGAGATCGGAGTTGTGACAGCGAGTTCGCATTCGAGAGGAGGGAGTGACAACTGCAGCCCTCACCACAAGGTTAGAGGAAGTAAGGAGTAAATCAATAAATCAGCAACCGCAGGGAAGGGTGGAAGATATTTGCAACAGGCAGTACAAATACCCAGACTCAATCAGCGCAGTCCAAAAAAATCGCCCCAGGTTTACAGGCAACCTGAGGCTGAGATTATTAACGGCAAACGGGCGTCAAAAGGAATGCACCACAACACAATCAACACAGGCAGAGAGGCGCGTTACCTTTCTCTTCGGCATAATGTCCCTGCCCCGGGCTGCAAAAGTAAAGCAATGAGCAAGCTTCTGCACAAGCGCAGATCCCTCCTCCTAACGCAGCGGCGGTGGCAAGGCAATCTCTAATCCGCGCTGCTAACCACCGCTGCGCTGCGCACCCTCCACGCTCACTGCCCCTGCGCCGCTGACACCCGAGAGCCCCCTGCCACAGGCGCCCACCGCCGCTACCCAGAGGCGAGAATGGGGCAGCTCTTCTTTCTGATTGGCTCCCCAATTCTGTAACCCCCGCCCTCCTCTGAAGGGAATAGACTAATCAGGGGAAGTCCGTGTGGTTCAGATGCAGGGCACGCTGGGGTGAGGTAGCCTGCGCTGATTGGGTGGCAGCGGGCCCCCAAGCCAGACAGAAGTGGGGAGGCTGGGAGTACTAGGCCGGGGGGCACATGGGGAAGTGTCGGGAGATATGGCCAACATTTAATAAGATTTTTAAGCATTTCATAACAAAAAATATAGTTATACCTGTATCTGGCAAGTTATCTTCTGAGTAACAAATGCCACCCATCAAACAACAGGGACCACCCTCCAAAGCATCTTTGGATTTGCCAGAGACCTAAATAAACATACATAAAAGGATTCTCCCCTCTTCTATCCCAATTGTTCCCCTTCTTCTATGGTCTTTAAATCTTCCCCCTCGCTATCCTTTTCCCTTGAGCCCACTCTCTCGCACTTCCCTCACCCTCTCCCTCCTTTTTCCCCTTCCCGTGCCCCTAATATCCATCCAGGATTTGCCCCTCGTATCCACTGTTCTTTCTATCCCCTACTTTTTGCTTTGTACATCCATCTGTTGGTCAGTCTCCAGCTCTTCACACCATAGACCAATTGTCCATTCTCTCCCATAAATTCTCCACTTGCCCCAGCCATCTGTCCTCTCATTAATTGAACAATCTATAACCTCTCTATTCAATTTCCAGTTTGTCCTCTTCTTCCAATTTTTTTCAATTCTTGCCTTCTTTATTCATCAATTGGTTCTCAGGCTTTCCCTCACCCCTTTGCACAATTCTTACTCCCCACAAATTTATTCCATTTTGTCTTTTACTCCAATCTATTTAATTCTCAGCTATCAGGGGAGGGTAAATCTGGGAGGGCAATAGGAGCAGGGGGAAAAGCAAAGGGGGATTCAATTAGGGTTAAGGAGGTGAGTTTCTTTTGGTGGGTGGAAAAGAAAGGTGAGAAATGGTGCCAAATTCTACTGAGAGCTCAGTTAGGATTGGGGCAGTATAGGTGGTGATCATGGGTTGGAAGAGGGCAAAATTCCAAGCACAGAAGAGGAGGAGGAGAAGGAGGAGGAGGTTTTTGGAGCTTATAGAGATGAAGCTATTTGCAAAGGACTAAGCTGTTAGGGCAATACTACTTCTGTCAGGGCCAACAAGCAAGGCAAATGTCTCCTCATCTCAAAAAGATATACTGTACTGGCATTAGAAAAAGTTCAGAAAAGGGCACTAAAATTATTAGGGGTTTGGAACGGGTCCCATATGAGGAGAGATTAAAGAGGCTAGGACTCTTCAGCTTGGAAAAGAGGAGACTAAGGGGGGATATGATAGAAGTATATAAAATCATGAGTGGTGTGGAGAAAGTGTATAAGGAAAAGTTATTTACTTGTTCCCATAATATAAAAACTAGGGGCCACCAAATGAAATTAATGGGCAGCAGGTTTAAATCAAATAAAAGGAAGTTCTTCTTCACACAGCGCACAGTCAACCTGTGGAACTCCTTGCCTGAGGAGGTTGTGAAGGCTAGGACTATAACAGGGTTTAAAAGAGACCATTAATGGCTATTAGCCAGGATGGGTAAGGAATGGTGTCCCTAGCCTCTGTTTGTCAGAGGGTGGAGATGGATGACAGGAGAGAGATCACTTTATCATTACCTGTTAGGTTCACTCCCTCTGGGGCACCTGGCATTGGCCACTGTTGGTAGACAGGATACTGGGCTGGATGGATCTTTGGTCTGACCCAGTATGGCCATTCTTATATTCTTAATTCTTCCCGCCCCTTGCAGGCTTGATGGAAGGCTGGCACCAGAGTGGGAAACCACACTGTACAGTCATTGGACTTCCAGTTTAAACAATCCTACAGGATTTTTTCCTTCTATATATTCTCTAGAGTTTTTTCTAGTTCAGTTTTTATCATTGCAAGTAGTCCTAGATCTGGCATAAAGGTGTATTTTAGTGGGAACACATCAAAACAAAATAATGGCACTGAATCATAGAAGTGTAGGACAGGAAGGGACCTCAATAGGTCATCTAGTGCAGTCCTCTGCACTGAAAGGGACTATCCTTGCCCTCAGCCTTCCTATGTCTATCATCCCTTCTCCTAACACAGGGAACTTGTTTTCAGATTGGCTGGCCTACATCTTCTGGCAGAGTGTCCCTTTTCTGTAGTGAAAGTCCATCCTGAGACACCTGACCTGCCTGTGTCGAAAGATGCCGCTTGTCCCAAGTGACAGAGATTGCCTTTAAGAAAAGAGAAGTACTGATTTGAAGGTTTTTATTGGAATCCCATATACTTTGGGTGGTAAAAATGCTATTTTCCAATAGAAGATGAAAACTTAGCACTGTACTAAAGATGCAGGCCATAATGAAGAATAACATAGGCCACATTTTTCCAGCCTTGTTTTCACTGATCTGAAAATTAATTGTGTTTCCAATACTCTATTTATATGGAGATTAAAAGGGAATCAGTCATGCAGTTGGAAGTGAGGGGTACACCTGTAATATATTGCCACTTTTCTGGAATATTTAGGGGGGTCTTCATGTTTAGGAAGAAGGCAGAGACAAGTATTACAATCTCACATCTCCACTGCCCTCCATGTTCCAGGCCGATCTTAAATATTATTTATGTAACCCTTCTGCCCATCTAAGTTGGCAGCAACAAGGGCCGGGTTCTGTATCTAGGGGTTCCGTTTCAATAACACAATGCAAAACCGGCTCGAGCCCCCACCCAGTGACCTGGGACAATTACATGCCACCCCCCTGGGTACCTCTAAGAGGCAATACTTCCCCTCTCGCAAGCACGGAGTCTGAGTGAAGCAGAAAATGTTTAATGACATGAGGTAAACGACATCAGCATAAAATTGGAAAAACACCACAAACAGGATTCATAACACAAACCATGAGCAAAACCCACCCCAGCAAATTGGGCTGTGTCCTTTCCCTTTGGTTCTTGAATCCAGCAACCCAAAAATCACCCAGAGTCCCCAAAGTCCAACATCCCCAAAGTCTCTGGGGTCCAGCAACCACCCAAAGTCCCAAAAGTTCAACAACCCCCAAAGTCTCTGCCCCTGGTCAGTGCAGCCCCAGAGTAAAAGGGGGGGGCACGCAGGGTGTTAAGGGGCACCTTACGTGATCCGAGGCTGGCCAGCCGTCTGTTTCTCCATGGGGGTTCCGCCGCAGCCTTTACCACGAGCCAGTCCACTTTCCTGCCATCCCACGAACTGCTCTGCTCTACAAGCTGCTCCGCTCCGCTCACCGACCTGTGAGCCGTTCCAGCCGTCCCCGCAAACAGCTCCGCTCGCCGTTCCTTGGGCCACTCCAACCGGCCCTGCAAGGCTCCACACCGCTCTCTGCTCCTCCAGTCGTCCCCACAAATTGCTCCACCAGCTGCTGAGCAATATAGCTTCAGGCTCCCCCACTAGTTAACATAGCCTCAGTGATCTCAGCTCTTAATAACATCAGCTCTTTTGTGATTTCAGCTCTTAGCAATTTCAGCTCATAGTAGGGGAGCCCCAGTGCTGGTGCACCAGTGACCCAAAGTGAATTCAGCTCAGCAGCCTGTAACTAGACTCCTAAGGGAATCAAAGTTAGCTCTGATATTCCACAGTGGAGAGAGGAGGTGGTGCAATTGGTGTTTCGGACCCTCAGAGGGGGCCCATACCATCAGGTACAAATACCTGTCCCCATCCTCTCTCAATTCACTGGGTTTTGTAACCCATGCCCCTTGACAAGCAAATGCTACTTAGGTAATGGTGACGGATTCACTCAGTCCTTCTGTCATACAACAGTTCCACTGGCCTTGATTCACAGAATCAGGGTAACAAAACTTTATTCTTCCTGCCCCAATAATAGAGAAACTGGGGATCCCACACCAGCCAAAGTAACCACTTTCAGTTGCTGTGTTTCCTGCCAGGCGAGTGGGTGTGCCTATGCAAATAAGATCAGCCCCTGGAGTTCTTTTCCACACTTGCCATAATTCACCACCAGATGTCAGGGTAGAGCTCATCCTGACTCTGCTTACATCTATATGGTGATACAACCCTAAGATCTCAATCAGGCTTGGGGCCCTGTTAACTGAGACTTTTATAAACACATATGTAGACATAGGCCTTCTCCCAACGAGCTTATAAGGTAAAGAAAGCTTATAACCTAAAAAGACAGAGACAGAGGGAAACAGGGTACAACATACAGGTGTGATCAACACATATCCTATTAGTTCCATATATTCAAGCATGACTAAGCCCCAAATATCCCGCAATCTAGTAATTGTTAGCACTTTTCTACTTCCAGCTAACCAGTCCAGAACAGAGCAAAACCTGTAAATAACAATGAACATTAACAACAAAGGAACTGCTAGTTTTCTGGTCATTATAATAGAAGGCTGCATCACAGGGCAATTAGTATAAAGAATTTTACATAAGGATTTAGATATTTTTTAAAAGAAATGGGTATTAGGGCAGCACTGGTCTCTCCCTAAATAGGAAAAGTATTAATACATGTCAGGATTACAGATCAACATGCAAAAATATGTTACAGGTTCTAAAAGTGAGAGGACAGGCCTGAGATTTGACCATTGATACAGGTGCCCTCAGAGCCACACTAAATCTTCACTGCACCCTTTTAAAATCCTGCTTCCACTCTGATAATGGCACTATTAACATAATGTCACTTGGAAAAAGTCCCACAATGGACAGTAGTAAAAGGAGTAAGGCAAAGCAGTAATAGCCATTACAGAGAAGAAAGTTTGGGTAAAGATTCAACCCATTTGTCAAAAGTACAATCAGTTCCACATCCCCCATTGTAGGGGGATTTAATTTGCCATGTTAATGACTGTTTGTTTGCCATAACCTTCACCCAGCTAGTTGTAAAGAAGGGGGTCCACTTGCTATTGAATCAACTGTAGCTACACTCATATAACTGAGAACAGGATTTGGCCCAAAATGTGTACAATGGGT